AGGGGCCCCCCCCCCCCCCCCCCCCCGGCGCATCCAGGCCAAGAACTCGCAGGCCGCCCACGGGATTTTTGCTCGGGCTCCGCTGAGAATGGTTTCGGCCGCCTCCGGCCAGCTGCCTTGCTGCTGGTCCGGTTTTTGTGTTGTTTTTGCTTCTATGGGTCTCTAGGTCCAGTTGAGCCGAGCCTCGAGGAAAATACCATTCGGAATAGAGCCGAAGTTGGTTTATTTATTTCAGCAGTGAGTGCTTGGGCAGGTAGTACGCCCGCCACATGCAGAGCTCGCTCGCACAGCGTCCAATTGCAGAATTGCAATTGTTGTTGGTGTCGGTGGTGAGGATGTTGGTGTTGTTGCTGGTGTTGGTGGTGTTGTTGGTCGTGGTCGTGGTCGTGGTCGTTGTCGTCGTCGTCATTGTTGTTGTCGTGGTCGCCGTTGTAGCTATGACTGTGGTTGTCATTGCCGTTGTCTGAGTATTTGTCATGGCTGCCGCTGCTGCCGCCGCTGCTGTTGTTGTGGTTGTTGTGTTGTAGGAGTGCAGTCGTCGTGTGACACTTGTTGCTTTGCCATTCGTGGGACTGCTGTTCATGTCGGCATCTTGATGCTTCGCAGCACATGGTTATGGCTGCGGCTCGGGACCATCAACAAATCATGCAAGGCGACTTCCAAGATCGTGATAAGTTCTGAATTGAGTCCGGTCCAGCAAGAGAGGATTCGGACTGGGATGTTGTGAGGAAACAATGGGTCCAGGGCTTGTTTACACAGCATGCGATTCTGAGCATTTCCACCACCTCAAATGGAGTCAGCCATGCACGTGGTTTCATGAACAGGTCAAACGCCCGCAAGGGTCCCAAGGGTGCTCAGGGGTCGGATTCAGCACGGTGTTACGCCTGTTTACCGTGGCGAGGCCGGGAAGCAAGCGAAGCGTGTCCGCGGCCTACGGCGCGCGCTCCCTAGGTCTTCGTGACATCCCTGCATGTGACCGTTGCAAAGCCATTTGTGCGCTCCAAGGACTTAGCTCGGCGAATAAATCAGGCCTCGTGCAGATTGAGTTGGGTTGGAGCAGTCAGATTCGCGAAGCGCCACCAAAGACGGCTACAGCAGGGAGTCCAGGTCAGGAAGCCGCCCCAAAAATGAAGCCACGGGCAAAGGGTGCTAATCGCTTGTGTGGCAGGTCTCATTCGGTATCGCTAGAGTTGCATAGCGTTATGTGCAGGCCAGGCAGATTCCTTGTTGACCGGCGGCGTCAACGTCTCATTGTGAGGCATTCGAATCTGACCATTATTGATTCACATTGCAGCCTTGCCGCTGCAAGATGAAAGCTCTGTGTTCAGAAGCGAGGAGATCAGGAGACCCTCGGATGCGAAGCACAGGCCACAGGTGCCAGCCCATAGCTTGCGGGTCGCTGCCACGGATGCACGGGTAGAGCTGAAGAGACTAAAGACCACAGTGACACCTGTGCATCCCTGCGCCAGAATTTGGCCTGTAGATTGAGAGGCAGACAGCTGGCAGGAAGGAAATCGCATTTTGCATCGAACACGGTGGCCTTCGGTTCTGTTCTCATGTAGATTGCAAAGTGTGTTTAGTGGTTTAAGGTTTGTGAGGGTTAGTGTTTAGGGTTTTGCTACTGCTCCCAGCCCTTTTCCACCGAACTTCGACCAACCCGTGCATGGCATTTCCTTCCGGCAGGCACGTGGAGCTTACAGGAACCCTGCAGTCTTTGTCTAGCTCTATGCACGTACTTCCAGCGGGTTGTTGAGATCTTGGATGTATGGCTTTGGCAAGCTCGGAACGATCCTGTCCCCAGTGCCAGCGTGGCTAGCGGCAAGGGATTGCTCGCGAGTGTGGGAACCCATTGGAATGATGAAGTGAGAGAAGTGTCGAAGAGAGCAGGCATGGCTGAGACTGGATGGAGTGATCTGCGAATCATGAAAAGACAAAGGCCATCTGGCCTTCTCGTCAGGGTTGAAAGTAGCTCATGCCTGCATCGGCGGCAAAATTTGACTGAAGGGGCTGTCGCGAGCTTGGATTGCGCCCTCGGTGACCGCCCAAAGACAAATGTGCAAAGGCAGGGCAAAGATTGCCAGCCAGTGAGCTGAGGTGCTACTGAAGTAGCCCGAGGCTTGTCGCAGCAGCTCAGCATACAACAGCTCCTGACATTGGAGCTGTTCGCTGAGGGCTCCGTTAAACAGACCTAGTGCCCATAGGATCACAGCGGGCCAGCGGAGTGGGCGATCACTCCCCGGCGCCTCCGACGAACATCGTGTTGTTCGCACTGAAAAATGCTGCTTAGGTTGCAACGGTTGGGACCCCGTGCGTTGCTATTGCATTTTCGCACAACGATGAGTCATGATGAGTCCTTCAGTCAAGGCCTGTGGTGACCGTTCCAACTTAGCAGTAATTTAGCGTAAGTAGTTGCGAAAATCTGAAAGAGTCAGGCCCCTGGCTGAGTAGCAATCTGAAACAGAGCAGACTTTCGGTTGGTGATCGGAGTGGAGAGTTCTCAGTTTTGCCACGTGGCAGAACCTCTACACTGGCTCGTCACGTCATCGGCTGTTGACGGGTCTTGCATGCAAGCTTTTGCGTCTGTCAGCAGGAAGTCGTACGGGTTTTGTTCCGCGGCTAGAGCCCGAAACTGCAGGCGATTGTGGAGACCTGGATTGCTGCCAGGCCAGACGTAGGAACTGAATTGGTCCGGGCTGCTTTGTGTTTCGTAGTCTTTTGTTGTACAGCTTCTGGAAGAGACGAGGAGCATGGTCAGGCTTTTGGCTGCCACTTCGCATGGATCGATGGTGTGCAGCTAAAGCACCTTGGCAGGGCCGACTTCTTCGTCGGCACCATCGAGTCCAGGTGATGGCCCTGGAAAGCTGAGTTTGGAGAGGAAGAATGTCCCGCCATTCTCTGCTTGCCTTGCAACTTGCAAGCACGAAGGTTCACGATGTCCATCCAACTTGAACGAAGCTTCCTTGGCAAGCCGCACCGAACTTCGGAGCAGGTTGGTTTTCCAGTGAGAGTGACATGATTTTAAACAATAAGAAAAGTCGCATAAACCGAGCATCTGACATGGCTGCCAGGAGTTCTGCAAGGAATACAAGCGCGGCAAGTCGTGCCTGGCCCCATCGTGAGCTCATGCATGTCTTCGCTTACCTAAGAATGCTTAGAGCCAGAGTTCTGCCTCATGTCTCGCGCTGAAGTTCCACCTTGGCCAGGTACCGGCACACTCCCCGCCGTGGTGCACACCGGGACCAATACGTCGAACGCTGAATGGCAACCCTATTGTAAGCCCAAGACGCCGGGGCAAGTCTAGTCCCTGAACTGGGGAACCCTGTGGTGTGTTGGGCTTGTGCTCGATACGTGGATCACGGAGCCAACAAGCGCTCCCGAGGCAGACAGAAAGTGTGCAATGCCCACCTGCAAGGCATTCAGTCAAGCATCATGCAGTCTCGTCGCAGTCGCAGCTTCAGGTGCCTGGGTGTTCTACTTATCCCGCACTGCCAGACGTGGCATCCAGGAGTATTTTCAGGGACCTAGTATAGAGGACTTATATGTGATTCTGAAGGATTGCTTTCTCGATTCTCACAGGCAGCTCAAGCCGCACGAATGGATGCCATGCAGAGCCAACGGGACCCGTCGCGATCAATAGAAACCCGATCCCAGCACCCACCGAAGCAACAGCCACGTACGACACGCATGACACGGCCTGCTCAGCAAAGTGCTGGCCAGGAAGACGCCTAATTTGGCATTCTCTGACCATACTGAGCCATACGTCAGCTTGTGGTGAAAGAAGCGGTAGAACGATGTCGGCGCAGATCCTGCAGGAGTAATGCAGTGTCCTTAGATGGGCCCATGTCACTACCAGAAATGCCCCGGCCGTGGAGGAATTCGTGGTAGGTTGAGATGGCCGGCGTGTTGGGTGCACCTAAGAGACGACTTGGTGCGGCAAAGGTGGCTTTTTCCCTTTGGCCTATGTCGCCGCCGATGCACTGTGTCCGAGCCTAAACGTCCCATGCCTGCGGGCGTTTGTAGAGATATCCTCACTAGATAAAGCTCAGAAGCGTTTTAGCATGAGAACCTGCAGGTGTGTTGTTTTTGGCAGCGGCGCAAACTATACGTGCCTCGAAACTAAGGGCCTGTGCACACCGATGGAGATGGCTGAGGAGCAAGTTTGAGTCTCCGCAGAGTAAAAACTTGTGTATTGCTGAATGCTTGCCTTCCTGAGCTGTTTGTAGTGACCACACGCGACAGGAGCCATTTCCGAAAGGAGCTGCCCGGGCATGGGCTTGTGACGCAACCAGAAATTTCCGAGAAAAGATTCACGTAGGTTGGTGAAGCCTCTGTCGTTTTCTTTCTGACTGCAGCTGGTGCGGAGCGCGCAGCAAGGCTCGTGTCAAGAGCCGGAATTTCTCTTGTGCCTTTATGTCGTTCCTCAAGCATTGCCGAGTAGTTGCTCGACCCTGTGAGCATGCAGCTAAAGCAGCGCAGGAAAAGGGTGCAGATGACGACTTGGACGTGGAGAAAGGAGCTTACTCGCACCGTTTACCGTGCACTCAAGCAGGGTTTGACACTGGCTTGAGAGATTGCAGTGCCCGGAGGATCCCAGTTCCAAGTCGAGCTATCGGAAGCTGCAGGGGCCGGCGGCTTTCGATGAAAGAGACCGGTAAACCTGCTCTGAGCATGACTAGGGAGGAGGTGGCGGATTCTTGTCCAAAGTTTCTGCGACAGTAGGCTGCATGGCAAGCTGGAGAAGTCGTTGGTTTATCATCAGCTCTTTCCGAACCTTGAAGCCTGCAGGCTCACCCCTTTCTGTCATCCTTGGCGAATACGCAGGAGCTGCTTTGGGCCTTTCGATTGCTTGCAAGGTTTTACACAAGCTTGCCAATCTGACCCATCTTGACCTGCAACTCTGCAGCAAATTCGTCTTTCTCTCCGCAGGATGCTGACGAGCGCCCAGGCAGGGACAAAGCTCACAAAAGCTCTGGATCTACCTGTGGGTCCCGATGTGTGCTTTCACGCAGGTGGAGTCTCCGACGTTCCAAGCTGGCAGATTCCAGAGCTTGTGGTGCGCCACGAGAGAGACGAGCGTTTCACATCGCAATCTGCGACTACATTGTCTGGGGATCCCACTGCATCATCCTTTGCTGAGGTGAGTCTTACTGTCAGAGGGTCATGGGAGCGGCACAGGTGGAGTGCCCGAAGAGACCCGGAGCCCGCATTCACAAGGCGGAGGGGTCTGCAGACGGGTGTTATTATGGGGTTTGTCCCAAGTCCTCATTCTAATTCACTGAGCGCCCCATCTTTCCAATAGCCGTGTCCGCGAAACCTCCTGCAGGGTACTTCGCTAATCCTGCCGGAAGCTGGCGGCGATCTGCTGGCTGGGCCCTCTGGTGAGTAGGTGCTTGAAGTTGTTGATCATAGACGCAAGCGCAGCCGGGTTGATGCAGAGTTGTCTAAAGCTACATGGACCCGGGCTCCCCAAGGCTTGCGTCGTCAGCAGCTTGCCGGTGCTGTTGCAAATAAGGCGCGGAATTTCATGCTTGGATTTTGGAACCAGCTTCGCATGTGGCGGCGTTGCTTGTGGCAATTGTTTGATTGGCAGCGCATCACATGGGATGTGCGCAGACCACGCTGGATTCTGGGTTACAGTATGGCCGTCGATGGCCACGCTCTTAGAGTGCTAGAAAGACAGTAACTCTGACTTGTGACATGCTCATCATCACGTCGCTTGTCCAGTATGCCGATTTTGAGCCCGCTTCACTGCAGACTGGCACTCGTGCCGGTGGTCTGCAGTGCTTGCTTGGCCTCAGGCGTTTCTCTGCGAACGATGTATCGACAGCTTGCAGACTCTGGCCCCTGCGTCATGATAGTGGAGGCGAAAGTTGGGGAATGTGCCGAAGTATCCACTGACTGCTGACTTGTTTTCCGGCATTCCGAGTCGCATGTGTGGTGCCCACAGGATTCCAGCAACTGCATTTTCGGGGCCTTCCTCAGTGAGGGCTTGAGGTCCGCTGGGGCATGCTGAGGCATTTTGTTGCAGAGAGCAACAGGAATCAAGAGTCTCTCGCATGTCACAGGCTTTCCGCCCGCAACGTGAAGCTGCTCATTATGCTAAGTACCATGCTAGGGGTTCGGCTGAAAGCGCCGCTGAGCTCCCGAGCCTCGAGCTCATGTGCTGCGCGGTCGGGCGCGGGCGCACCGCGCTCGCAGCTCCGGTCCATGGGGCTGCTCGTGGGGCCTCCTGGCGCTGGCGCTGCCTGTGCCTCTGGCTCCCGCCTCTGTGCGGCCGCCGGGCTGCTGTCCGGTTTCTCTTTGGGAAGGCGCAGAGGCAGCACTCTCAGAGCAACGGAAACTGCCGAAAGCTTGGAGTGCCTGAACCGGCGACCTGCCACGAGAGAAGCGGTTGCGTTGTTTGTTTTCCTTATTGTGTTGGGGTTTATATAATTTGTCAGTGTATGCGGGCCTCTCTGTGAACCCAGGCTCGCCAAGGAATCAGATCAGTCCTGGCTTGACCAGCTCTCTCCTGACCCGGAGACGGACCTGCACGTGCCCAACACGGACCCGCGCGAGGCGATCGGAGCGCTTGCAGCCTTTTTTGCGGCTTGCAAAGCCGGTCCGCTCGGTAAAACGACCTTGTTCCTTGCAAGACTCTTGCGAGGTCAAGTCTGGCCACTACGTGGAGGTGTGGCCGACGCCCCTGCCAGACCCAAAGCTGGTCATTTACTCGCAGGAGGTTGCTGACATGCTGGGCATCCCCGAAAATGAGGTTCCTTGAGCTAGCGACAGCTAGTGCAAATTCTGTGGGAGCCAGCAGGAAAGTCGGGGAGCTTTGCCAGGTCCGCTCTGACTCCTTTACGGCATTCTTCTCCGGACAGAGAAGCGAGATTCCGGTACTGAGGACGGGATACTTGTAACTGAAGATGCGTTGCATGGTGTTGTGAGATGCCTTGCATGGTGGTAGTCCAAACATGTCATGTGGCTCTCCCTGAGGTCCTGGTGCACACCCTATGCGCTCGCCATTATGGGCCAACGCATGGTGTCGAACTGTCCGTTTGGCAATGGCAACGGCTACGGTGATGGCCGGGCCATCTCGGTCGGGGAGTCGCTGAAATCTTTTCATCTGTTTCAGTGTGGGGACAAATATGGACAAATGACTGGCATAAAATGTGACCTGTGCCTTTCTGCATATGACATCACAGCCCTGCATCTTAGGCTTTTAGCCAATGGACAGCGCTTCGAGCTGCAGCTGAAGGGGGCCGGCCGAACGCCGTTCTGCCGAGGAGGCAGTCGTGAGGGAAGGGGGGAAGATGGAGTCGGAAGATGCAGGAAGCTTTTCAGCTCAGTGAGTTTGGTGAACTCTTGGAAAGCGTGACCTATGTAGGTGATGGCCGCGCAGTGCTGCGCTCCTCCATCCGCGAGTTTCTGGCATCAGAAGCCATGCATCACCTAGGAGACACGGACATGGCACGATGGCTGTCCTCAACATTGCTCATCATACTGAAATATCCTGTTCATTGGTATCACAGCAGATGTCACGGTGCGCTTCGGTTTGTACCAGCTCAAGCAAGGTTGGATATGTATGTTGCAACTACTGTTTGTTTGCGGAGGAGTGGAGACGACGCGAGCCTTGTCCTTGGTCGTCTCTGGTTCGGAGACTGTCCGACGCCCATGGTATGCTGACAACAGTCCTGCAGGACTTGGATAAGATCAGAGCTCCATGGTCTTCACAGAGTGCTGCCTCCCTAAACCTATTCGCGGTCCGAACCTGCAGGAAACCTGTACTCGTCCCGGGAACCCAACACCATGGTGAACGAGGCTTGTGCTATCACAACAAGGCAGGGGAAGAAAGCCTGCAAGGCCCTTACATACTGGACGATTTGAGTGAATTCAGTGCCAGGGTGGCCCCGAGCTTTCTCCGAGTGGGCCACGTCGACCTCTTCGCGCGGCGCGCGGCCGCGAGCCCCGGAGGGTCAGCCGCAACAGAGCTGGAGCAGATCGTTGAACATGCCCTCTTCCGTGAGCAGCTTGGTGCAAAATGTCGTGAAGAGTGGATGGAAAGTGGGGGGTTTTGAGTTTCATTCGGAGGCCTGCAGATCGTCCCTTCCATGAACAGACTCAGACCTCTGGTCTAAGGTACCCCGACATAGCCGAGCGCGCAGAGCCCTTGCCCGAGCGTGCAGTGGCCATGCTTGAGGCCTCCTGGCTTTATAGAGACCTCCTCAGGATGCAAGGAGGGCTGCGACCGGCTGTGAGTTTCAGAAAGCTCGCTCTGCCGGCTCCGACGAGGCCTTCGCAGACCGGCTCGCGGCCCTGGTGTCCGGCTGGCTCCGCGTGGGCTTTTGCCACTGGGAAGAAGCTGTTGATGTTTGCGTCCTTGCGTGTGCTTTTGAAACGAAGGGTGGTCTCAGCGTCCAGGCGTGTTTGTGGGCTCGTTCACGGCGCAAACTGTTTGTTTGATCGCACTGCTAAGCCTGACCCACGGAGCTAGAGTGCGAGCTTTATCTGCTTATATACTGCGCTTCCAGGTCAAGGAAACTTCAACTCGGACAACTGCATCTGGGACTGCCATGCACCGACAAGCTTGTTCAATCAGGGTCGTAGCGGTGATCGCGTCCCTGCACCAATAAGGCTTAGTTGGTGGCCGGACCATGGACTACGGCCCCTTCGGCTTTATTGACCGCTACGACCCGCTCTTCGCCAAGTGGACCGGCTCGGGAGAACACTATGGCTTCCTGAACCAGCCGCAGGCCTTCGGCCTGGAACAGAGAGCGTGAGCCGGTCTTCTACAAAAGCCAAGGAGGCGCCTCATACTCTGACTGTGCTGCTGCAGTGCTGCTGAGGCCGCCATGGCCAATTACCACACACTTGTGACTTCCGTGGCCGTGCTTCTGAAGGAGAGCCTTGGCTTCTGGCATGGGAGGAACGCGACACGAACTGAGGTGATACAGGAGGGCTTCTGAAACACAAGCAAGTCCAATCCGTGGGACTGCTTCCCAGAACCCCAAGTTCCCTGAACTGACCCTGGCCCTCTCCCAAGGCAGGCCAAAGAAGAGGCAGTGCGGCTCATCGAGGCGGGCGCGCAGAAGATCCGTGCGGCCGTCCTGGACGGGAAGTTTGAGCGTGGTTGGGATGAAACTCGGGTTTGGGGGGGAGGAACACCTTCGACCTTGAAGCTTCAACCCTACGATCTGCAGAAATGCTGTAGCAAGGAGCATTCGAACAACCAACAACATTCTGCGCCGCCTAAACCAAACCTCGCATGACTTGACTGCAGACAGCGAGACTGACGCAGAAATAGGTTCTTGAGGGCGGGGAGAGGGTGAGTGAGCAATCCCAAAACGTCACGCGGCTCGAGATGCGAGGACGTCTTTACAAAGAAGCTCGGCTTCGCCTCTAGCAGCGAAGCTGCTGTGGAGCTCTGGAAGGACCCCTTGCGACCGGCATGTCAGCATTCGAGCAGGAATGCTCGAAGGTTATGGAGGTGTGAGTTCTCAGGCAATTCATAACTAGCATCGTACAGAGAAGCTGCCGCGGGGTTGTACATCGACAGTTTTTTCACTTTGTAACATCGCGATATTGTGCATCTCTGAGTTGACTCGTCGAGGGCGCCGCTCTGACACAGGAGCTGGAGCCACTGTTGCGAAAGTCGAAGATCGACTACACAATCTTCTGGCGCCAGTTGATCCCTGTGCTGGATGCTTGGAGCAGAGTCTACAGAGTCTATTCCGTGGGCCGTCAGATATGCGGTATGCCAGCGGTATGCAAACAAGCAAACAATCGAATTGCCATTTTGTGTTCTGATGTCCCGACACGTTCTCATTCTGAGATGTTCCGAGGATGCAGGGGCGGAGGGCCAGCTTGGTCATTTGGATCGTGCTTTCTACGAGCCGCCGAATGACGAGCTCCGGCAGGAATGGGATGCATGGCTCCAGAAGTGGGCGGCAGCTGTCCTCTCAGAGGGTGAGGGCGGTGAGAGCGCGCGCCAGCGAGTCGCTTCGCGGCTTGGCGCTGTGAACCCCAAGTATGTTCCACGCGAGTGGATGTTGGTGGAGGCCTACACAAAGGCTTCAGAGGGTGATTACACCGTCGTCCAGGAGCTCTACGAGCTCTTCAAGCGGCCCTACGACGAACAGCCGGCCTATGAGCGGTACTACAGCCGTGGCCCAGACGACATTGTCAGTCGAGGTGGTGTTGCATACATGACCTGATCTTCGTAGAGGGCAGTACAGCTATCCGGCGTACTGCCCCTGTTTGAATAAGCTGTCCTTGGGTGCAGAGCAAGTGAAGCCTGAGGATGCCTTCCCTATGGAAGGCCCTTGGCTGAGATGTCTCTTCAGACCCACAACAGCAGTTGCAGTTGCCAGTTGCAGGTTGAGTGTAGTGAGTGCGGGTGGTGGTACTTGGGCTCCGAAGGCTGGCAACGGCATTGGGTCACAGTCTCACAGTTAGGTCGGTAGGTGCAAGAGCGCACACCTCCTTGCGGCCCAGGAGGATGAATTTGATGACTCTGGCCGAACATGGCTCCCCCATTTTCCCGGTTTTCGCCCAGACCATCGGCCACCAGACACATCGCACTCTCCCCTCAAAACAAGACGTCCTTGACGGTGCGACCTGCCTCCGCAAGCCTCGACCCTCCCCAAAGCCGCTGCCGAAGTCTGCCAGGCCGGTCAGCCAGTGCTATGGGACGCACGAGTGCTTCGTCTTCCGGACCCGGGAGGGCAAGGTCAGGGAGAGTGTTCCTTCAAAGCAATGTCAAAGCCGAAGGACCCCGCGAACAGCTGGGGCTTGGCGGACAGAGGCATGGGACAGAAAAGCAAGCAAAGCTGCTTGGAGTTGAACGTGCTAGGGCAGGGCTTTGCCCTCTCAGTAGCTCCCACCTCCCTTTCATTCCTGGTTCGTTGAGAGCAGCGCTCCAATGCTCGATGCCTGGTGTGTTATCATTCATAGTAACAGTACAGAATGGATCTTAGGACGACGAGTCGCCTTGTTCTGTTTGCGCCGACAGGTGTATGGCCGCACAGTTCAAGTCGCCTCCCCGCAGAAAGCAGACGAAGCCAAGCAGGTCCCTTTTATCACACATCAGCTCCATGCACATGTCCTGTGAACGGGTTTTGGTTGGGAGCTGTCGTGTATCCCCATGTCCAGCTGAAGCGACAGGAGGCAGAGGCGACCCAGCCATCTCCGCTGCAGCTTGGCTATTGTCTTCAGAAAGCAGAGACTGCATACGAACTTTTACCACAGCAACTTTGGCTGGACTCTTGCTGCACTTCATGCGACATCATGAGACCAGGCTTGAGGATGTAACAGATAAGAGAGACGCGTGGCAAAGTTTCGAAGGCCGCCAGATCAGTCTCCGACTTTTGCCGGATTCAGCGGAGAGCCGCTCGGCTGTAGAATGGGTCATACCCTGTTGCAGACTCAAAACATCTGTTCCCATGTATCCGAGGAAAGCCAACTACTTCGAGGCGCATCGGACGCCTCATCTGTTCGCCCTTTGAGCACCCCATCGAGCAGTCTGCGACATTTTTTCTGTCTCAGGCGCTGCGCAAATCTCAGGTCCGGGAGCCGAGAGAGCCGCGAGGGAGAATCGAAGTCCCAAGCTCTTCTGGGTGAGGTTCCAGCATCCTATGCATCCGTGTTCTGCAGTCACATGGCCAGCACCTTAAACACAGCCAACGTGGTCGGGAGATGAGACATGCGGACATGCGTCGCACGACGAGCCACGCAGCCTGGAGCAGAATTGAAGCGTTGGACAGGGCATCGTTGTTGGCATTGATGGTCCAGCCTTGTTCATCGACCAGGCGGGGATAGACCTAGGGAGAAGCCTTTCTTTCTTTAGCCCGACCAGCAGCTCCCTGTGCAGGACCTCCTCCGGGGAGTTTCCTGGCCCTCCACAGGCTTCGGCTCGCCCAGCCTTTGTACAGTACGGCGGCTCAGCGGCTCTGAAGCTGGCCAACTCGTGACCCAGTCCGACAGACTCGATGGTGCATGATGGTGCAATCTAACCGGACGTCATGGAACATCGACGTTTCACCTTGGCAGTGCCGCTACAGTGCCAATCATTCTCCCGTTGCTTGCTCGAGGCTGGCACTGATTTCGTAGTCCGAAACTTGGAGGTCAGCGCCTGAGCAGTGGAATGCAACCGTCCGTGCAGACGTGATACTGGGGCTTCCAGTGCCTCGTTGCTGCCGTGTGCACGGTATGTGCAAGACTCGTCTGCTCTGAGTCCCTGCGTTGACTGGGCGCAGACGTATGCCTGCGCGTCTCTCGCTCTGTCTCTCGCTCTCTCGCTCTCTCTCTCTCTCTCTCTCTCTCTCTCCCTCCTTCTCTCCCTGGCACACACACACGCACACACTCACTTTTTTTGTCTCTCTCTCTCTCTCTTTCTTATCTGCTTGGGTCTCATCCTCCCTTTGTCTGTACGCTGTTGTGCGTTAGCCTTGAACTGCCTTGGGTTTGGAAGACCGACGAGTGTCAACGCAAGAGATGCTAGAGACTCGCGGCTGAGGTTTGGCATTGGGCTTCCTGACGTTTGCAAGGCAGGATAATTCCACACATTTCTTCGTGGTTGTTGGCCAGGCAAGGTGCACGTCTGTTCATGATCCAATACATGTGATAATCGGATTCCTTGGCTTTTGTGGTCCGGTCCCTGCAAGCCGGAACCTAAACCAGACTCATCACCAGGAGAAGACGGGGCGCTGCGATCCTGATCGGGCCTTCGACTATCCGCGGATTTCGTGATACGTCGCAGTTGGTGTTTCTGATTGTAGAGGAGGCCATAAGTGACGCAGATTTGGGATGATGATTTTCTAGACTAGAAACTCCTCCAAACTTGCACGTCACAGGCAGGGAAGAGCATCCTCGGCAGGTAATCAAGAGCTTTGCAAGTTGCTCCTCCACTCCTGTGCTTTCCCTGGATGCACTTCCATAGTGAAGTGCTTCACACCGCTACCTCCGGACAAAGCTTCCAGCTCGGAAGGGCACGGCCCGGAAAAAGCCCACGACCCTCTGCCAGAGGAGGAAGTTTGGATGCTGCTACAGATTGTTCTCTCATGTCATGACACGCAATCACAATCACCAAAGTGATTCGAAGGGCGCCGAGATTCCGAGTCCTCGCCTAGGGGTTGCACAGCGGATGACGAGTGGTGCCAAGTGGGGGCGGCAAAAGGTTCAGGTCGGGCGATCCCTGCTTGAACTTTGAGGCAGCAACTGTTGACCTTCTGTTTGCAGGTGATGTGCTGTTTTGCGAATCTTGGTCGAATATGGATTCCGCAGCGCCTGCACGGGCGGCGCGAGCACGGCCGCAACTCGGTTTCGGGAGTCCGTGGGCTGGAGAAAAAAAGAACTGTAGGGCAGGTCGCACAGGGTTGGTCGCCGCCCTTCACTCCAGGAGGGCGAACCCGCACATCCTGCATGGGCTTGGTATGGCTTGGTGACTGCCAACCGCCGCCGCAATGCGGCAGGTGCGGGGCATGGGGACGCAGCTGTGGTGACGGCGATCACTGTGCTTCGCCTAATCCCGCGGGCCCAGCGTGCCAAGCCGATTGAGCATGCGTGAATCCAGGCTCGCGGCGCCTGCTTTTGGTGTCAACCCGGACGATCGCCCACGCTTCGACTTCGTTGGCCTACGGCTCTGACGCAGCAGCGGCGCTCACAACCCCCTGCCACCACGAGGGTTGTCGGAAGCGTGCTGCCTACCCCGAGGCCCCCCGACGAGGAACTGAGAGGCCGCGCGAGCGCTGGAACAACGAGTCTATCCGCCTCATCGCCCAATTCGTCCGTGCGCGAGCCTTGCCGCGCGCCTGCTCCGCTTCGAGGAGCTGCCGCCCAAGGCTGGTTCCTGTGATGGGGGGTTGTCTTAAACGTGTCTCTTTGCTTGGTCTAAAAACCCAAACTGTGCCCTGTTCCGCGGTTCCTTGACCATCCATGTTTGTTGTTTATTTGCCCCCGGCCCGAAATGTGGAGTTTCAGTTCCTCGACATTCTGGGATCTGCAGCTCTGAGCTTTTCTGTCTCGCGCACTTTTTTCCCGAGGCGTGTCCGCTCCCTGTGCAATGCCCGGATAAATTAATGTCAATGTGCGCATGAAAAGTCCCAGCGCATGTGGGCAAAGAGCTCGTGCAGCTCGGGCTCGTGGTCCATCTCCGAGCTCAGCCGCGGAAGGGAGCTCGAGGAGAGGGGCCGCAAAAGCACCTTGCGCAACGACTGCCAAGAGGCCGGACCAGCGCCCGGACCCAGGCAGTGATGGCCGAGGGCCGCAGCAGGCGCAGGACGGCAGCGGCCCGGTGGCGGGCCAGATGGCGGAGGAGTTGGACGGCTGGCTACCAAAAACAGAGCTGCTTTGGACAAGCCCGTGTTGGAGATGCTTTTGGTTGACCTGGACTGTGCCCAAAGCAGCGCAGATTCTAGCTGTGCGCTCACGGCCACGCCTACCGGGCCGGATTTCGAGGTGCCAAGCAAGGAATTCATGCTTTGTAGGCTTCGACTCGCATTACTGCTGCCGCCAAACGGTGCGGATTCTGCAGATTCGGGGGGCGGTTCGACGACCTGAGCAGCGCGCAACTTCAAGCCGGCACTCGGATCGCCACAAGCGTCGCCGTGTAGGAATTAACCCTTGATGGACCTAACCTGTCCCCACCACTGATGGTCGGAGGATCGAGCTCGTCGCAAACGGCCTTCTTCGGTGGCGAGGCGCTATAATGAGCTCCTTCCAGCGCGACGGGCGCTCACCCGATGCGAGCCCAGCGCTGGCACTTCAACAAGCCGAGGCGCAAACTCCGCACCTACCCCGAGCTCCAGCCAGGCGTGCGCGGACGCTGCCCCTTGCATGGAGGTCTTCGGTCTCGAGGTGGGTCTTGTTTACAGACAAATGTTGTTGACACTGCGACTAAGTGTACCGCTCGCTCACGTGTGCGGAACCGAACCCTGTGGGCGCGGGCCGCATACGCGCCGATGGACCGCCATCGCGGTGCCCAGACCTTGCCGGAGCTGCCGGTGCGGTCTTGCGACACCAGCAACGGCCTTGAGCCTTGAGCCGCCGCTGGGAGAGCTTCTCGCGGCTTGGTCGGGTCGTGGCGCTCGCTGTGCCCGCGCACAATCCTCCAGTCCAGGTTGCCCCTGCGTGCGCGCAGGACAAGGCTGCCGCGGCTTGCAAAAGGCAAAAAGTGCGAGGAGAAAAAAAACAAAATAATTTACAACATGGCGTACCGTTCAACGGGGAAACAGGCTCAAGCCATGAATAACCGGGCGGCGCCCCTCGCGCGCAACCGTTTTCGGTCCAGCACGGCAGACCGATGCAGACAGGGATCCCACCTTGCAACTGCGGCCCGCACCGCCGCGGCTTCCTTGCGAGCAACCGGTCGAGGTCACCGGGAAGTTCGGGCGCCGCGGCCCGGCAGCCCAGCCAGAGCCAGAGGTCTGTTCTGTCGCCCCGAAATGTAGTTTTCTAAAAGGTCCTTGCCCGGAGCACGGCCCCCGAAAGACGAGCAATGCCGGCCGCTAGTTGGCATGCAAGTCGGGCTAGCTTTTCTCGGTGCCATCATACTCGATATGGCATTGCGCCAACCGAACTGCATTCCGTGCTGGCTTGCAATTCATCGCGGCTGGAAAACTGTTTTGCCTGTCCCGCGCACGCGTGTGGGGAAGGGCGTGTGTCTTCCCGCGAGCTGCTGACGCAGTTGTTCTCAAGGCTTGCCGCTGACCCAGCTTCACGCAACGCTCGATGTCGATGGCAACGAGGCACGGGCTACAGCCTGTGTGCCTAATTATCGGGGAGCTCTCCGCAACTGGTTGAGCCCCCTTTTGAGCCCCCCTGGTGTGCCGTCGCCGCATCCTTGCTCGACTGGTGCTGCAAACGCACCTTGCTTTGCACGAGGTCTTGGCTGATGCACGCTGGCTTCTGGCTTCGGGTTCCATTCGCTTGCCGGCTCAGCTGACTTAGGCATACTTGATCAAGCCTTGCTTTGCACTCCTCGTTTTGCCCCCGCCACAATCTGCAGCCTCACGTTTCGACTTCTGGTAAAACGGCGCGTGAAAGCAGAGATCAGTTTTTTCGCTTGGATATCAGAACACATGCGAACATGCAACAAACCAAGCCGCACACGTTGTAAAATATATCATAGAAAAATTCATATTTAGCCGGCGTCAGGTTGCTCGTCTGATTTAAGCCTTCCCAGACACTAGTGCCTGCTTTTGTCAGAGCTCTGCAGCCGAACAAAGTGGATCAGGCCGACAAACGCCCTCCCGACCCGTATGCTCCCCTGCCAGATGCGGTTGTTGCTTTCCGGGCCGAGCATGAATGCCCCTTGCCTCTGCCTGCATTCCTTGCCGCCCTGCGTGGTGGTGCTCGCCGCGGCTCCGCAGCTGGGCCCTCCGGCGCCACCACCGAGCACCTCCGCACCCTGCTGGATGATGAAGAGGACAGCCGACTGCTCCATGCGGCTGCTCTCCGTCTCGCAAATGCTGCGGTCCCACCTTGCGTTTTAGCAGGCATTCGGGTCGGGCGCCTCGTAGCGCTGCGCAAGCCCAATGGCCGTGTGCGCGCCCTTGTGGTCGGCGATGTCCTGCGCAGACTCGTCGGCAAGGTCCTGGCGCAGCATTTCGCGCCACACCTGCAAGAGGCATGTTTGCCCCACCAGTTCGGACTTATAGCACCAGTGCCGGCAGCGAGGCTGTCAGCCGCCTCTTGCGTGCAGCCACTGAGACCTCCCCGCGTGCCACTGTTCTCTGTGTCGATGCAGTCGGAGCCTTTGACCACGTCGCGAGGGGTTCTAGGCTCGGCGCGCTCTTTGCGCGGCCGGCTCTCCAGCCGCTGCTGCCTTACGCGCGGCAGTTTTACGGAACCCCGAGCACGTACACGTGGCTTGACGACGCGGGCCAGGCCCATGAGGTTCGGCAAGGGGAAGGCGGCAAGCAGGGTGATCCACTCATGCCGGCCTTGTATTCTTTGGCACAGCATGAAGCCCTCACCCAAATCCAATCTCAACTCGAAGACTGTGAAGCTGCGTTCGCTTTCCTCGATGATACCTACATCATCGCGCCGCCTGAGCGCATACGGCCGCTGTATGACGCTTTGGCGCGGGCACTGTGGGAGCACGCGCGCGTCCGCCTGCATGAAG